CCGGCACTTCTATATCTTCAAGTTGACATGAAATTACGTAATTGCCACAATTAAGATTTCCAAACATTCATCATTTTTTAAGTGGGGAAGATTGTGTATACACTGTTACATTGAAAGAGATAATTCATCGGGTCAGGATTGTCAGCACACAATTTTAAAATAATGTATCAAGCAAATTCACTCAATCTGGTGGGTAGGCTGAGGCAAGCAGTGTGCCCATTTAAAATGCAGAAATGTAGCCATGGATGGAAAAAGATCACCCAGTGTTGAGTGTTCCAAGCACTTTTCATTGTTTAGTAGAAAATCTGGCAAGTGAAAAACAAAAGATGGCTTCAAAAAGCCCCAGTGTCTTTTTCTTCCATTTTCTAACCTTTTGGAAGCGCCCTCATAGAACTTGTCATGATGCTATGAATTTATATGTAATAAAGGGCATTTATGCCAGTCATAGCTTGCCAAGTATTTACTCCTCTCCCATATTTGGCATGACAAGAGTGTTTGCAATGCTTTGTTACCTAGCCTGAAAAAAGTTTCAACAAAAGTATACTGTGTAGACATGCGACCAGACTCTTGCTGGACTCTTTAATGCTTCTTGTCCTAACTATCCACCCTCAGTATCTGGAGGTGGCAGAGGGAGCTGCATACACCGAGAAGCTAAGGAGGGAGAGTCATGAAATCAAAAGTAGTTTGGAGCGCTCAAAGAAAATGAATGTTTCTCTTTCTCTTACAGGTTGTCTTTCTACTCAGGCCACTCTTCGTTCTCCATGTACTGCATGCTGTTCGTGGCAGTAAGTACTTTGTGTCTGTCCTGGTTGGGTTATGCGCTGCGAGGGGTGGGGGGTGGGTTAGTGTGTTCCGCATGGGCGCCCCCTCCTGTGCTGTAAGCAAGCCAGCTGCCAATGCAGATTTCATCAGGTTAGCTTCTCCACCAAGGGACCCCGCGGTGCCTGCACCTTGTGGAGAGGAGGAGTGGCTGCCCATGCTTCGGACAAAGCCAGTTGACAGTTGTCTTAAAAGTATTTTTGGAAAAAAAAAAGTTTTTTTGCCCTTCATTTAGAGGTAGCAAATAATTAGCACATTCTACTGCAAGCTGCAAATTGGGAACCTTTAAGATAATACTGTTTACCTTTGAAGTGGTTTTTTCCTTTCCTTTAAATAGTGGTAGGAGCCTAATAAAGAATCAGTAAGTCTGTAAGTCTCAGTGCTAAAACTCCTTGGTGTGTCCTCATCTGGAAGAGATTTCTGAAGAGATTTACTGACCTACAAGCAGTGTCTGTATAATCCCCGCAGGTCACTGATCTGAGTACTGGGCCAGGGGGACTGCTATGTGTTGTTTAATAACCTCGTCCCTCCTTGGGGCCACGTAGGGCACATGAGTCAGAGCCGATTCCGTGGCACGGAGCACCAACAGCAGTCCTCAGCTTCTCAGAACTTGGGTACTAAGCACCTGATTTTTTTTCCTCCAGGGGCTGGGGGGTGGGGGGCTTCTGCTGGGATGAGCAATGGGTTTTTTATTGTTAGAAGGAAAAACACTTGTGTTGTTTTAACTTGAGCAGGTTTTTGTTTTCCACTTTTTTTTATTAACCATTTTACTGGGGGCTCTTATAACAATCTATACATCAATTGTATCGAACACATTTGGACATACGTTGCCATCATCATTTTCAAAACATTTTCTTTCTACTTGAGCCCTTTGTATTAGCTCCTCTTTTCCCCTACCTCCCCCCGTGTCTCACCTTCACGGACCCCTGATAAATTATAAATAATTACTATTTTCATATCATACACCGTCCACTGTCTCACTTCACCCACGTTTCTGTTGTTCATCCCCCTGGGATGGGGGTGGAGTGTTTTAATATGTCAATTATCGTAGTCAGGTCTCTGTTTCTCCCCACTCCCACCTTCCCCCTACACTCATGGTATCGCTACTCTCCTTGTTGGTCCTGAGGGTTTATCTGCCCTGAATTCCGTGTGTCAGAGACCTCTTATCTCTTCCGGTGGACATACTCTGGTCTAGCCAGATTTGTAAGGTAGGACTGGGGTCATGACAATGGGGGGGAGCATTAAAGAACTAGAGGAGTGTTGTGTATTCCGTCGGTGTTATGGTGCACCCTGGCTGTTTTCCACTGTTCCGACACATTTGCCATACTCTCTTCTCTGAGACTCAAAAGGTTTTAACTCCTGGGAGAGTCGGTTACTGCTGCTGGAGCTTGTCATCTGTACAGTTGTCATCACTAGCCTGTAGAGCATGCCTTGTGACAACTGGCAATTAATGGCTTTACTGAGAGTTGGCAGTGAGATTTGCACCCACATTTTGCCTATCAAATGAGATTAACTTTACTTTTCTTAGAGTAATTAATGGAAAACTGGGCTTTAGGATATTCATACAGTCTCTAAAGGCCAATCTAATTGATCTTTATTTGTGGAGTTATTATTAGGTCTGGTTAACTGGGTCCTAACTCCTAGTAAGCCTGTGTACAGCAGAATGAACAACACTGCCGAGTCCCATGCTATCCTCACTGTCGCTACTGTCAGAACTCATTTTTGCAGCCACTATGTTATTCCGTCTTGTGAAGGGTCTCCCTCCTTTTCCCTCCCTCTCCTTTATTCAAGCGTGCTGTCCTTCTCCAGGGGCTGGTCCCTTCTGGTCTCACCATCCTTGCTTCTAAAGAGCATTCAGGCGGTACTGCTGCTACCACAGACCTCTTTCTTTTGGAAATCCACGGCATATTGAATCTTCTTTGTCAGCACCAAAGTTGAACTCTGTCAACTTGTCTCTGTGGTCTCCCTTAGATCTTGTTTCATACACACTGCTGCTTCTCTAGCTTCCATACATGTCATTTCATATCTACTGTTTACATGCCTATGAGGCGATTGAAAAAACCTCGGCTGTGGGTCAAGCACACCTTAGTCTTCAAAATGACATCTTTGGTTTTTACACTTCAGAGAGGTCTTTTGCAGCAGATTTGCCCAATGCCCATTGTTTGATTTCTTGATTGCTATTTCTACGGGCATTGATTCGAAATCCTAATAAAATTAAATCCTTAACAGTTTCTATCTTTTTTTCACTTATCATGGTGTTTTATTGGCCTAGTCGAGGATTTTTATTTTCTTTATGTTGAGTGATAATATGTACTGAAGCTGGTGTAACCTTTGGTCTTCATCAGCAAGTACTTAAAACCCTTACTTTCAGCAAGCAAGGTTGTGTCATCTGTTTATTGTAGTTTGCTAATAAGCCTTCTTCCCATCATGATGCCCCATTCTCCTTTATATAATAATGCAGCTTTTCAGATGATTTGTTCAGCATATAGATTGAATGCATTTGGTAAAAGGATACAAATCCTGATGAAACCTTTCCTGACTCTACACCATGCAACATTCCTTTGTTTACACCACTGCCTCTTCAGAGTCCATGCACAGGTTCTCCATAAGCACAATTAGGTGTTCTGGAATTGCCATTCTTCTCAAGGATATCCATAGTTTGTTAGGGTGCACACAATTGAATTCCTTTGCATAGTCAATGGTCACTTAAACAGTAAAACATTCTCTGCTTTTAGCAACGATTCATCTGTTATCCCATATTCCACATTTTCTTCCAAATCCATGTTGAATATCTTGCAGTTCGCTGTCAATGAACTGCTGCAACAATTTTTCGAATTATCTCCAGGAAACGTAACTTACATGTGATATTGAGGGTGATTCCACAGTGTTAGAGCAGCTTTCTTTGGAATGGGCACACATAGGGATCTCTGCTTGTTGAATGGTTTGGCAACTGTCTTCCAAATTTCTTGAGTAAGTACTTCCAGTGCTGCAACCGTTTGTTGAAACATCCCAACTGGTATTCCGTCAATTTTTGGAGCCTTGTTTTTTTCCAATGCCTTCAATGCATTTTGGACTTTTTCCATCAATACCATCAGCTCTTAATCATACACTGCTTTCTGAAGTGGTCGAACGTCAGACAATTCTTTTTGTTCGTGACTGTGTATTCCTCCTTTTTTTTTGGTGAATTGGATGAAGGTTTCTTAAAGGTTTACAGAGCAAATCAGCTTTCCATTCAGTAACTTATATTGTTTCATTCATTGATTACAGGCCCTGTAATGTAGCCTCCCCTGTCCCCCTTCTTCCTGATGTTTCCAGTTTCCTTTCTCTCCTAACACTTCCGAACTGTGTCCTTGGAAAAATGCCACCTTTTTGATCTCACATGGTTGATTATCCTGAGGCATGCTTACCACCCCAGTGTTAGATTGTTAGCCTGAAAGCTGAGCCCCAGCAGGGAGTTCAGTTTCTGCCCTGAAACATGATTAAGGGTCTACTTCTGACTTGTAAGCCTGGGCTTTATGATTTTGAGTTTTGTTCCACACTTTCTCCCCCACTTAGTTTCGGATCTTCTAATGTCAACCCTTTCATGTATGTAGCATATTTATATATTCTTCAAATGACTTTCTTTTCCTGCATCAATATTTTGCCCATGGAATCCTTCAATATTACAATTCGAGGCTTAGATTTTTCTTCAGTTCTTTCAGCTTTGCTAGATCCTGTATTTTTTATCTCATTCTGTGCTATTGGAGTATGGATTAAATATGGCCTCATGTAGAATTTGTCATCAGTGTTAACATTCCAGAGTCTCACCTAAAGAAAACACCTTGACTATTGTTCTGTCTGGTAGACAACCCTTCGGGATGCTAACAGCATCATCATCAGGGGCTGGTTAACCACCCTGACCGACCACGAGCACAGGGCAGTTTCTTAGCACATAGCCATTTTCCACGCTCAGAGGCACCCAGGAATTTGGCTAAATACAAGAGGTATCAAATTGGTGTGAATGTTCAGAAGCACCAGAGTAAGAGGCTGACTTTTAAGGAGGGAGGAATGCATGAAGCACCTTTCCCAAGACCATCCTAATGAGGTGGACAGTCCAGCTTGCTTATATCACCATGATATGAAGTTCCTTTGTTCAAACAGTGCCAGTGATCTAGTTCCTACTCAAAGTCAGTGATCTTGTGTATTCAAGAGTCAGACAGTCCCCCACTTGATACTGATCATGTACTACATATCTTGAATCCAGGGCTATTAACTGTTTCCGTCCAGAAGTTCAAGTTTAAAACAAAATCACACGAAAGCCCAAACATAGCGTTTTGGTTAAACCCACAAGCAAACTGTCCATTGACCTCTAATCGTCTGGTTCCCAGTGGCACACTCAGTGAACCCCCTCCTAAAGGAAAGGAGGCTTACTATGAAGACTTGCAGGGGTGAGACTAGCTTCCCACCAGGAACTGAGACGACCAAGTCGTCTCAATCATGGGCCACTTGAGTTCTCAGAGTGTGGCTGCCACTCTCATCTCCCTACTCAGTGCTTCCCCAATAGCATCTGCTCCTCACTGGAGTGTGCAAACAACTGCTTATGTGTCCACTGGCCCCGTTTCAACAACGTAGGAAAATGGAGAACTCTGCCATCCTACCAACCTGAATTCCAGGGCAGAGTACAGTCCACCAGTCCCTGGGTCAGGCTTAGCTTAAATCAGCCAGCCAGTCACCCGCTCCCAACAGAGAAGACAGGCCCACGTATCCAAAAGGGCTACTACTTCTTTCTTCCACATCTGGGAGTTTGAAAGTAGAGCCGAGCTGCTAGCAGTGTTAGCCACGGAGTCCTCCAAGCTCTCCCCACTGGCTAAAAGGTAAGTGATGGAGCGCCTTCCCAAGAAGGATGTGCTGATACAAGGGGGTGCTGAGCAGAGCACAACAGGGAGAGGCAGAGTGATGTCAAGCGTTTTTACTAGCCCTGCCCGGC